GAGAGAGAGAGAGAGATCATTGGCTAATTTGTTATATATTTGTATTATAACGCGTATTAAAATTGTAACTATGGCTTGACAGCTGATGAAATAAATGGTGGGTTTTCCCCTTCGTTCAGCGAGTTGATTACGGCGTAGCAATCGCACAGTTTCTTTAAAAATGCAATAAGCAAGATGGGTAAAATATAACTTCCACTCTCTCTCGCTGCAAGGTTGAAAAATATCATTGTTGGGAAAATATGTCGAAGAAAGCTTATTAGAGAGAAAGATAAAGAAGTACCACAGAAGTTTATGGCAATAGAAAGGCCAATATGAAGATCACAATTGTTATGATACCGAGAAAAATCTAAGAACAACGATATAGGAGTTAGAGCATGTGACGAAAGAAAAGATAACTTGACAAGTGATATTTTCTTGTAATAAGAATGAATATTTTATAATATTGCAATGCTTTTATATATAATATTTTTATATTACATCTTTAATTATTAATAACATAAGATTCTTAAGCAAATTTCTATACATATTGTTAAATATATATTTAAAAAAAGTGATAGAAATGAAATACTTATATTTCAACTTATATTTTCACACTAAAAATGTATTTATATATTTTTATATTTATATACTTTATTTCTCACACTTTATTTCTTAAAAAAAATGTTTTCCAAATTTGACTTTATTTCTTAATCTGCATAAAATATTTAAGTGATACCCAATAATTGAACTAAATTTTGGTTTTTAAAAATTCTTTTATTTTATTAAATTTTATCAAATCTGATAAAGTACATCAATTGAGAAAATCAACGTTGTATTTATAACTGGTATTTATAGCTTTGTGCTTATGCAAACCACAAGATTATGTCGAATCGATGAGTAAATAATTTCTTGTTCCTCGCGTCACTCCATGCAAAATTTTATCGAGTCTCTAAATAGGAAAATTGTCACTCGTGTAAAATTATAATGTTCTCTTGCACGCTAAGATATAAGCAGCGTGCAAAATACAGACCTTAATACATCGCGTGCAACACTGACACGTATGATGCCGAAGCTTTTATGATCTACAATAGGATAGAAATAATTGTCAATCGTACGCGAATGTCATATTACAACATGATAATTTGACGACAAACAATTGCCGAAATATTACAAAATAATATTTCGCACAAACAAATGTAACATTCCATCGTTAATTTCAATTACTTCATGAAATTCTTACGTTGGCAAATTGTCTCAAAGAGAGTTCCGCAACTTTTCCTATCGTAAGCGTTAAGTGCTTTTGAGATCTTATGATCATGATGTGAATATCTCGGTTTTGACTCGGGCTCGATTCATACCAAAGAGATTCATATGCCGAGTCGCCGATCATTTCGCTCTGAAATGTACGGTAAATCTGTGTTTTAAAGCAGCATATTGCATGTCACGTATACATTACACGTATACATTACAATGTATCGTATGTATACTGACTTTCGTGCTGAGATGTTCTCCAACGAAACAATATATAAATGCCTCCAAGCTCATAACGATGTAAAAAAACACAGATTTTATTAACATCATCGATCCGCCCGGGACACCGATAGACTGAAATTTTTAATCATTTTGGGTCTCGTTCGAATTTTATATTGTTTCAATATACTTACGATCACGATAAGAAATCCTAGACAACAGATAACCAGGGTGTTTGAAAAAAATTGTATCAGCGCGATATTCGAGTAGAGATTCTCAATGTTCTTGGAGAAGGTAATAATTTGCTGATGTCGAATGATCAGCGCCTTCACAATGCTCTCGTTCACATCTTGATCGACGTTCTTTCGCTCGATGTTTTTCCGAGTAACCTCACTCAATTTTTGCCGCATTAAATCGATCTGCCCACATATGTGAAGAACCTAAACATCGAAATGAATTTTCAGTTCAGTTTCACTTCTTAAATTAGAATAAAAATAAACAGATGCAATGAATATCAATGGACCACTCGTTTCAATAAACGATGTCTTCGAATAATGTTGATTAGCGTTTGTACGGATTCATTTATTTGAGCTGAATTCGGCTTAACGTAAGGAGTATTAAGTCGTAATATAACTTTAATTCATAAACAAAAAATATATTTATATAAGTAATGTACTTATTTTTAATACAATATATATATATACTTATGTATAAATATATAATTACTGCGAAAGAAATAATAAATAAAATAAAATAAATAACTAACTAACAAC